CGGGAGATGAGTTAATTACTCCCCTAATTAATATAAGTGCATCTTAATCCACTGTCCTCAGACAGGATATGATTTTAATATAACGATTTATGCTAGCTCCAAGACCTCGCTTTACCGAGTCATCTGAGTTCTCAAGACTCCAGACGTTAATTACTCTACTAATTATCATGAGCCACTAATTGCTATACCCCAGAAAGGTAATTAGTCCTGAGCAAATTACGTTAACACAAATACTGACAGATCCTCTCCCACTACATGAATTACATAATTAGCTAGAGTGGTCAATTAGTTGTCACATGGACAATTAACTGCACCTGAGACGTATCTCACTCAAGCTCAACACTGTTCTCCTATAACAGCTCTCACTCACTCAACAATAAGTGTGCACCCCTTATCCAGTTAATTACCCTTTTAATTAACTCACTGAATCCTTAAGTCCTCAACACAACTTAAAGAAACAAAGTAACCCCAGTGTTACATAGGTCACACTACAATGGCATGCAATACAACATAAATGCACTGCCCACATACGGTTGCGGCTACTGCAACTCGTTAATTACTGTGCCCACACAGTAATGACACACGGTTGTGCAACAACAACAGTATACCAATATTACTGCCCCCCCTTATCTTGCAACCGTTGCAAAGGACTACTTCAGCAAGACAATTTACGTTAATATGCACCGTCGCTACGCGGACAGCTGGCACTAATTCTCTTAATTAGGCAATTAACAAATCAATTGCTTGCTCTCATTAAGTACTGTGAATTCCCCTGAATAATCAAAGAGGCCCCTTAAAGCCTCAACACAGTTCCTAGGGCAGTAATATTGTATACCTGATAACAACAGTGCACAAACCTACAGCATAATGATGCCGTCAGCATACCCCACATGCTAATGACATCATTAGGCAATCAGTCAGCAATCTCATCTACTGACTCACCACACAACACAGTACATAAAACATGCAAATGAACACATAGAAATGGCATTCACATAATCAATGAAAATTATATCACCAGATAAATATATCCCTAACTACTCAGACCTCAGGGTATCCACTGACATCCCTGCAACACTGGCCTGCCTACCTCTGCAATGATATAATTAACATGCTGTACTATGGCTTAATCTAGTCTGCACGATTATATAGAATCGACAACTGGATCATTTATATAGTTGATCTCTACACTGACCGGTTACATACCCGAGTCAGTCTACACACTTATATATAGCTATACTATCCTTCTTTACTCAGTTTACCCATGCTCATATCTTTGTGAGGAAATGGTACACCGTTTGTTCCAGTTATCTCCCCCGAGTGTCCCGTTTTCTCTTCCCGATCTGAAACACCTCCTGGACTCCTTGCCGGAGCCTGTGCTCCTGCTAGGTGATTTCAGGTGTCGTCATTCCCTTTGGGGTGATGTTCTGACGAACACCTGGGGTCGCCTTCTTGAACCGTTCATCCTCTCTTCTTCCCTGTCTCTTCTGAATTCTGGTGAGCCCACGCATTTGGACTCTCGGACTCTCACCCTTTCCTGTCTTGATCTTTCTCTTTACTTAGATTTCACGTGGCAGGTTCTTGATGACCTCCATGGCAGTGACCATTTCCCCATCCTTGTTACCTTTTTCTCTTTTCACCTCCCCCTCTCCTTTCCTAGGTGGAAATTTGCTAAGGCAAACTGGAACCTATTTACCCTCAGTGCTGTTCTCTCTGACCTCTCCCTTCTGCCTCTTGCTCGCTCTCTCCTCCTTTTTCATGACATCGTCTTCGACGCTGCCCTCCGCTCTATTCCTTGATCTTCCTCTCATGGCCCACGGAAGTGCATTCCCTGGTGGAATACATACTGTGCTCGGGCTTTCCGCTGTAAGCGTTCAGCCTGGAAGAGACACCGCCGCCGGCAGACGGCCGATTCTTTTCTTTTATTTCGGAAGGTGAATGCGGTGGCCCTTAGGGCCATCCGTATGGCTAAACGTGAATGTTGGGCGTCTTATGTCTCCACCATTACGTCCAAAACTCCTCTGCCACAGATCTGGAAGCCCATCCGCAAGATAGCGGGTAAGTTCATTCCCAATGTCTCACCGGTCCTTCACCACCATGGTACTCTTGTGGCGGACCCGTTGCAGGTCGCTACCGAACTGGGTTCCCACTTTTCTTCTGTTAGCTCTGGTTTTCATTTTCCGGAAACTTTCCTTCTTCATAAATATTTCCTTGACTCTTTTCCTTTGGATTTCTGTACTTATCTTCGCCTTCCCTATAACGATCCCTTTTCCCTCTCTCTGAACTTCGGTCTGCCCTTGCTCTCTGCGTTTCTACTTCTCCGGGTTCCGATGGCATTCATTCAGGCACGTCTCAGTATTTAGTGAGTCTGTATAATCGGATCTGGGAGTCGTCGTCAGTCCCTGAGGACTGGCTCGATGCTCTTGTCCTCCCTGTTCACAAACCAGGGTCTCTAGGAACATCCCTTAAGGACTTTAGCCCTATTGTCCTCACAAGTTATGTCTGCAAACTCTTTGAAAGTATGGTTAACGATCGTCTGATGTGGTTCTTAGAACAACATCACCACCTCTCCACTTCTCAATTTGGTTTCCGCAAGTGCTGCAGCACAACAGATGTCCTGGTGAACTTGGAGGTCTATATTCGTACTGCTTTTGCTGCAAAGATCTCCGTTGTTGCCGTTCTTTTTGACCTGGAGAAGGCTTACGACACCACTTGGCGTTATCATATTCTATCCCAACTTCATTCTTTTGGCGGTTCATGGTCATCTCCTTTTCTTTCTCCGCAGCTTCCTCTCTCGTCGTTCCTTTCCGGTGAGGTTTGATACCGCTCTCTCTGCCTCTTTTCAGCAATATGAAGGTGTGCCCCAGGGTAGTGTTTTGAGAACTACTCTTTTTCTGGTTGCCCTCAATGGTCTTCTTTCCACTCTTCCTTCAGGCGTCTTCTCCGCTCTCTATGTCGACGATCTTACCCTATGCTGTTGGGGTGATGATTCGCTGATGCCGTATCGTCTTGGGCCACCGATCATGGCTTCAGGTTCTCTATGTCTAAGTCATGACATAGAGAGTCATGAGTAAAAGTCATGGCTATGACTTTTACTCGGAAGCGTTCTTCGTCCTTCTTTGTCGCTTTACGGTCACCCTATTGTGTATAAGGATTCCGCTAAGTTTTTGGGGTTGATTTATTTAAACTCTTTTGTCTTGGTCGCCCCATATCTCTTACCTCCGTGTTGAATGCTCTAAGGCCCTTACCCTCCATCGGGTATTGTCCCATACTTCTTGGGGAGCGGATAGGCGCACTCTCCTTGCTTTACATTCCTCTCTCGTCCTGTCTAAGCTCGATTATGGTTGACCTGCTTACTCGTCTGCTTCTCCTTTTACTCTCCCCCATCTTGATGCTTTGCACCATACTGGGTTGCACCTCAGTTCTGGTGCCTTTCGTTCGACTCCCGTCCTCAGCTTGTATGTTGATACTGGCTTCATATCTCTCCAGGATCACCGTGATCGCTACTGTCTTCGCTATCTAGCGCAGTCCTTGCAACATCCTTCCTCTCGCCTCTTTCAAGCATTAACTTTTGGCTCTCCTGCGGTTCCTGTTCCTCTTCACCACCTCCCTCTTTCTGTCCGGTTATCTCGCTTACAGGATTCTCTTTCAGTTCGTATTTCTAATATTTCTCTTCGTGTTGTTCCTTCTTTGCCCCCGTGGAGAGTCCCCCTTCCGCAGTTTTGTACATCATTAATCCCCATCACTAAAGCTTTTACCCCTCCTACGGTTCTTAAACGCCTTTTCCTTGAGTACCTTTCTTCTCACTCCCGCTCCATTTCCGTCTTCACCGATGGGTCTGAGTCTGCGGACAGTGTAGGTTACTCTGTTGTTTTTCATGATTGCACTTATATGTGTCGTCTACCTATGGAGACTAGCATCTTCACAACGGAACTTTATGCTATTCTCTAAGCTTTTCGTCTCCTGCTTTCTCGTTGTCAATCTTCCTTTGTAGTTGTTGTTGACTCTCGTAGTGCCCTCATGGCTCTCAGGTCCTTTAATCCGGTTTATCCAGGGTTGTCGAGATCCAGCATTGACTGTTTCTTATTCACAGTAAATTTAAATCGGTTGAGTTTTGTTGGGTTCCCAGCCATGTTGGTGTCTCTTTAAATGAGCGTGCGGATGCTGCTGCCAGGGAAGTTGTCCGCTTTTATCCCATCTTTCGTAAAGGTATTCTTTATTTCGATTTTTACACGGTTATTCATTCCTTTATCCTTACCTGTTGGAAGGATTGTTGGTCTTCTGTTACTGGAAACAAACTGCATACTCCTAAGAGTTGTGTGTCCTCGTGGCCGTCCTCCTCCCACCATAACTGGGGATGGGAAACGGTTCTGGCGAGGTTGTGTATTGGCCATACTCACTTAACTCATGGTCACTTGATGGAGCACCGCCCTGCTCCTTATTGTCCAAATTGCATTGTTCCTCTTACAGTCGTGCATATCCTTGTTGAATGTCCTGACTTCCGGGACGAGCTTGTCTTGTTTTCCAGCCGTCCCGCGTGGTCGCTTGTCCCTCGATAGTATACTTGGTAACTCAGATACGTTTTATATCGTTCGCCTTATGCGTTTCTGTTCTCGTATTGGCATCCTTGGTGATATTTAGCGCCCTCTGATTATCCCCCACGTTTGGTGGTGCTACATAACCTTCCTGGTTTGGTGCCTTCTTTTGATAATTACTTTCTTACTTACGCACAGACCCATCATTGTGCTCACGAGGTTACTTAATAAATACCTCCAAAGGTTACTTTGATCAAGTGGTGTGTGGTTTATATCCACCAGTACTGACAACTGCACTGATCACACTTGACCCAGATATGCACAGTATAAATGTTACATGGTATAAATGAGAAAGTAATTTCTCATTCACTATAATTTGATTAATCTGCATGCTTATTTTTTTAATAAATTAAGTCTATAATAATGCACTAAAGTCTAAAGGCTTGTCTTAAATCACTGTTACAGATACCACAACCGTTTAGATTCACCGAGTTGTCACCAAGGCGACCTCGGCTGTTTACAGGCAACGTTGTGTCCATACTTGATGATCAGTCACCAGGACGATCCCCGTTCACTGTGAAACATGACGGTAAGAATTGTTTTACATGATCATCACCTGGTACAGGAGAGATCAGTTATTTTAATGTGTTTGACTATGTTTGAACTAAACTGCAGAAGGCATTTAGACCCAATACGTGGAAGCTCCTGTTAATATCCAATCAAATTCAATCAACAATATGTCTAAACTACGCTTGAAACAATCAAGGTATCGTACGTATTTTATGCTTCCCGGTAATTGGTTTCACAAATCGACAACCCTGTTACTGATCAGGGAACCCCAGGTCTTACCCAGCTCTTTCCAAAATCTAAACGTATCTAATTTATACCCACTGTTTCGTGGTTAACTATGTATTCATTCATTTAATACCCTATTAATATCCCCTTTGTTATGCTCATTCATCCACCTGTACACGTCAACTATGTCACCCTAATTCTTCGTCTTTCCTAGGGAATGGATATTAAGCTTTTTCCCTCTTTCTTTATATGGAAAGTCTCTAATTTTGTGGGATTAACTTTGTCATTCTACATTGGACGCGTTCTAGTGAATTAATATCCATTCGATAGTATGGCGACCAAAACTTAATTCTTATTCTAAATGGGGCCTAACAAGAGAAAGATATAGGTGAAGAATAACACCAGGTGATTTATTATTAACACTTCGAGAAATGAATGTCATTGTCCTATTTGCCTTATTTTGAACAAGTTATGGACTGGTTTTTGGTTTTAAATCGTTACTAATCATAACGCCTAGATCCTTTTCGCAATCATACTTCCCAATCTCAACACCATATAGTTGGTGTCCTGCAACTCTGTCATCATTACTTAGCCTCAAAACTACATATCTCCGCATTAAATTGCATCTGCAAGTATTTAGACCATTTCCAGACACCATTTAGATCATCTTGAAGTGATTCTTCCGTGTTTATTTCCTTCCCAGTTTTCGTATCGTCGGCAAATTTGCAAATATTGCTGCTCAAATCTGAATATAAATAATTTATATGTATAAGAAATAACAGAGGCCCGAGGACAGAGCTTTTAGGCTCGCCACTTACTACGTTTTCCCCTCTCGTACTTAAATACATAAAGATCCATTAGTAAAACTCTGTTGTGACTTATTTATTAACCTATGTTTTTAAAGATGAAGACGAATGCCTTTTGCAGTTATCGATTGAAGCAATTTTCCTACAGTAGACGTTAGGCTAATTGGCTGATAGGTAGACTCAAGTGATATATTTCCTTTCTTAAAAATTTGTACCATGTAAGCAACCCTCCACGACTTAGGTACTATGTCTGACTCTAATCATTTATTAAGTATGGTAGACAATGGTTTAAAAAGCCCCTCTTTGTATTCTTCAAGCACCATGGCAAACACCTCGTCCGGCCTTGGGAATTTGTTTGGCATGAGTTTTCCCATTAGTTTAAAATGTTATTTAGGGTAGAAAAGCTCGGCTCTTGTGCCCCACTTCTCAGTGAATGTGATGAATAATATTGTTATAATAATTTTAATAATAATGCAAATGTATATTGATAACAGATATCACATAGGATCTGATTACAATGTTTTCATAGAGGTATTTTTTATATTTTTTTTAAGATATATACAAGAGTTGTTACATTGTTGTGCAGCCACTAGTACGGGTAGCGTTTCGGGCAGGTCCCTGGAATACGACCCCCACGAAGAATGTTGTTACAACCAAGTACCAGTTAAGGACTTGCGCCCAGTAAATCCTCCCCGGCCAGGATACGAACCCATGACAAAGCTCTCGTAGAACGCCAGGCGAGTGTCTTACACTACACCACGGAAACTGGTGATTTATATTTTAATATAAAATCACTGATCGCCCGCAGCGTTTCTGACACACTTTAACATTTTTTTGTGTAGGGTGGTTGATACTGACGCTGGGGTAAAATTACTTTGAATTAATGAAGTTAAATTAATTAATAGGAAATTATATACCATAAATATATGAAGAATAATAAGTCAATTAACTGTAAATTATAAATAATAAAAATAAGGTATATAATTATTGTAAATTTCAGTAATTAACTTTCAGGTAAAATAAGCTAACAAGTAAATTAACTGTGAACAAATGAGAATATAACTGATGAAGTTAATGATGACCACAATACAGAGTAGCTGAATTAACATTAATATGCGACCGTTGGTAACAAGCCAAATTAATGTAATGACTGATAATAAATGAGTGTTGCGGGTGTGGGTGGATTGGCATGGCCACCACTCCCCCAAAATGCCAGGAGGAACTTACGTGGTGCCCCAAACCTTCTGGACAGCTAGCAGCCCCGCCTGTAGGGCAGGAGCGTTAGGGTACTAGTGGTAGGAAGTGCTAACAGTGCCTCCTCACCACTCCCCCCATTGTGAATAACACTGTGGAGGGAGCTGATATCACCGAGTGCTGAGTGTAGGGCTCACGGGAAATCCGTACACGTAACTGGGCATGCATCCTTGTGGACGAACATGGGTCCTGGGCAGAGCCCGTGCAACACAATATATTGGAAGAGGGGGTTGATATAGTCATCCTACTTGGGCGGCCCCTCCTTTGAACAGGGCATTGGAGCACGGCCACTGGGATTATGATCAAGAAATGCATGGGCTCCCGTGTTTGCAGCGGTTGTCCCATAGCATTTGTTCGCCCGCCAGCAGTAGAGCTCGTCCACCCACGGTAGTGCTCGTCCGCCCACATAAAGGCTCGTCCACCTGCGAAAATGCTCGTTCGCCAGCGGAAGCACTGTCAGTTAGCGGACGAGAGTAAGAGAGTCACGGGGGAAAGGCTAGTGCTAAAGAGGAAAGACCTGTATTTGATGTATCATGCCCAGCTGATTGAGAAGCTGTATAAAGTAATTGTGTGTAACTTGAATATTTGTTGCTAGCCTTTCACACCCCTAGAACATTGATATATATATTTGGCCAGGCAATGTGTTTTACTGATACTGAAGGTTACTCCCTTTTAACAATTAAGTGGAGGTTTTTGTCCGTGTCTCTTAACAGTGAAATGGGGGACCGTGATCCATAACTGCATAGACCATAACAGAGTGCTCTTTAGTTTTCACCTTCCGAGACGCAAAACGATCGTAAAATAACCGTTCCTTAATGCAAGCGAACTTCCTAAAAGTGTGCTCTGTTATTTTCTTAAGGTTATGAAACTTCGGTCTATATGCTTCAGGCACCAACTGGTTAGCCATCATCCCCAACTTTTTGACAGCATCGTAGACACTCGTGTCCCTTACTGAAAGTATGAAGTACGTTGTTGCACTTTCCCAGTCAGCACTGATTTAATCATCAGAGCCCAATTTTGGACCTCTCTCTCGTAGTATTGTTTGTGTGCTCTCATAGCATTTGTTTTGTACCAATTTCTGATCATAACAGATTGCCTTTTGACCTCTTTGTCGATGAGGCAGCAGAGAGTAGCTGGGGCGCTAGCCAGTTCAAAGGCTTTCTCGAGGTCCAGTAATATCAGTATTCCTGGTCTGTCATTCAGGTGGGCTAACAGAGTTGTAATACATTCCACTGTGGCAACCCCTTTTCTATAGGTATACAAGTCTTGGTGCAGCTTAAGCATTTTCCACTCAAGTCTGTTGAGTGCCATTCTGTCAGCCGTTTTGGGTGCACAGCTTTGAAGAGAAATGGCTTTGAAGTAGCTGGATCTTTGGATTTTGGGATTGGCACTATGTCTGCCCTATTCCAAGCTGTAGGTCTAGTTTGAAAAGTTCAGGCTTAATTAATTAATATTAGGTGTGCAGCGTCTCCCTCGGGGCTATGGGAGATGTTGTTGTGTTCGAGGCAAGTGCCAAACGATGATGGGCATTGAAATTACCATTGAAATAACTATTGAAATTATTTGTTCATTTACCAAATTATTGTGTTTGAGGTGGTGACGTGTCCAAATAACACTGAAAGATCCATTTCAGAACGTGGAAACTTGTAAACATTAAATACTTAAATTTGTCGTGTCTTAGCTCAATGGACACTCCCATTACCTTTGTCCCTGGCCCACAATCAGGTGGGCTGATTATGGGCTTGGAGATCAGGTCATTTTTCACATAAATGGCACATCCTCTGGATTGTCCGTTGACTCTTGGAAGGACGAAGCCTCTATAGCCTGAGGTTTTAGGTTCTAACCGTCTCGAAGCAAGCTCTCCTGTAGTAGCAGGATGTCTATGCCTTGGGTTGCTGCTATGCATTGCAAGTGTTGCTATTTTGTGCGTAATCTCTGCGCATTCCATTGCAGGATCTTTAGTCTTCTTGGTTGTTAGAACCTGTTGATATTATGGTGGCATTCATGGAGGTAGAGTCTGATGATTTCGCCCTGGAAGTTTAAATTGGAGTTGAGGATCTTGGTACACTTGAAACCGACTCAAGAATTCAGTTTCAGAAGTCTTTGACTCTAAGTGGACTTTTTAGGAGAGTGTTTCCTGCTCTGTGTTTACCTGTTATCTCGGTTATGAGATCAGAATTGAAGAACACAAGAAAGCATGTAGAATTGTTGCTGGCGATAGTGCTCCAGCAAACCATAGTGTGGAAAAGGATCACAATCCTGAATTTTAGAAATGTGAAATAATCGACAGAAGTAATAATATTAAGACTAGAAGGGTAGTTTAAGGGGTTCAAATAAATACTTTGAATACGTTCAATGGTAACAAAAACTTTACTTCGGGGGATAGCCTAACTAGGAACATGATTCAAAGTGAATTAAAATTAGATCTCAATAAAAGGATGAATATAAGTAGGTCTATTAACCACGTTTCTAGGGGAGTATGGAGAGGGCTACGAGGGATAGCATCCATAAGAACATCGCTATTAACAACAACTCTAGTTCTCCGAATATCAAAATGACAGAAAGGACACATGACCATAATTCAATAGAAAACAACGGCGGGTACATCAGCAGTCGGGGATAGAGGTGATATGGTTAGGAGGTTAAGAAGGGTAAGAAAATTGGACCCAGGATAGCAGCCTCATTAGTCTTTGAGATATAAGTCTCCTCATAACCACAATCTTAGTCCTTGACAAAATACTCCGGAGAGTGCAAAAGACTTTGTGTAAATCTTTACATAAGTTTCACAAACTACATAAGTAAGGATTCTTATCAAATAATAATAATAACAGTTTATTTACACATATGTGCATACATATTATACATGAGCAGAGGAAGATATAGAGGTAAGATAAAGCCTAAATCCAGTAATCCGCAGTGAGAGTTGAGGGCATAACTTATGATAAAGAAGTTAGGTTGAAAAAGGTTTGATGAGGTAGACAATACTAACAAGGCGCTGACTAACATAAACATTGTTCAAGACATTAAAGGTTTGATGAGGTAGACAATACTAACAAGAAGTGTGCTAACATAAACCTTGTTGAAGCCATTTTGCAAATAGTAAGCAGCTTATAGGGAGGACATAACAGGAAACGAAGTAGGAGAAACGAACATGTGGTATAGGGAATAATTAAAATTTTATGATTTGTGGGAACATTATTGAATCGTTGAAAGATCTAAAAAAATTTGACAGCTAAACATTATACATTTACAAAAGTACCAACTTTGACAGCACACACAGTTACTACTTCAGTCATCTGTTTAACCAAAACAATGAGTGTTTACATAATTGGCGAAAGGATTACTAATGTTGTCAAAGCAGTTGTTTGTACTGAAGTGCTCTCTTCCTTTGATAATTTTCTTTTAGTTCTGTTGTGATCCTAGATATCCAGGCTCCTCTTTGTCTCCATGAGAGGGCCAGATTGTTGTCCTAGTCTCTGCTTGGCACAGTGAGTCTTCAGAGTGTGTACCAAGGCCTGGAAGTTTCCAGGTATATAGCTACTGAGGCCTAGTGTGTTACCCAAGGCCTGGAAAGTTCCATGAATACAGCTTCTAAGGTCTAGTGTGGTAGCCAAGGCCTGGAAGGTTCCAGGTATACAGCGTCTGAGGCCTAGTGTGGTAGCCAAGGCCTGGAAGGTTCCAGGTATACTACTACTAAGGGTAGCTGAGAAGCCAGTAAGAGGCTTATCAAGAACGGGGTTATTACTCCACCTTCTGAGGGCAGGTTCTGGTATCTGGTGTTTTCAACTTTTCGTTTGATAACCAATCTGAGCTAAAGGCTAAATGGGGCCCAACAAGGGCACGCTAAAGCTGGAAGAAATTATATTCTAGTTACTAACGCTAAATATATCTCCCAAATGAAGATTTAACCACACACCAGAAGATGAGGAGACGACGACGTTTCGGTCCATCCTGGCACCTTATCAACTCGAATATGACGAGAGAGCATCCTGTCATACAAAGAACGTCGCTTTTCGCTCGTAAGCGTTACAAAATGCCAAAAATTGTCGTACTAGAAAATGGAAGCAGCTCACGAAAGTGATGTACTGTCCCATTTTCTGTTATGGGTTCTCTGGTAGGTTAGGGGCAGTTGTTCGTTTTCTTGCCGTTGGGTAAGCTTAGGAGGATGGGTTGATGAGGTTGATGTCGTTTTAGATCCAGCTACTCGGAAAAAGACGTTCCAAGTAGCACTAGCTATGATGAGCTCTTAGTGGACTAAGTGTATTCTGTGGCTGGTGAGGTTGTTGTTGTTGTTTAAGATTCGCTACCTGGAACAAAAAGTTCCAAGCAGCACGGGCTATGGTGAGCCCGTCGGCGGCTGGTGAGGGAGGCACGGGCATTAAGTCAAGAGAGAGGTGAGGAGGAGGAAATTCCTAGAGGAAGGTAAGAGCAAGACGAAAAGTACGGATTGGATGGGTATAATAAAGAGGTGTAAGAATGGTAACGTAAGAATAAGAGGAGAAAGAATAGAAAAAAAGAACAATGGGATGGGGGCGTTGGCTTATGTTAGGTCACATTTGTTAGAAAGGTAAGAACATTTGAGTATGTACAATGAAGGGAGTCAACAGCAACAAAGCCAGGACTAAGGTTCATGTTGGGTAGGTCATATATCAGAGTCGACTCGACAGTCCGGCGTCTATGTTCAGATTCCTTAACATGACATAAGAGAACATTATTTGTGTCTGCAGACTTTACACTTCTTTTGTGGTCTTTTTGTTTTGTCAGTCATTTAGTGTACGGCCAGTTTCACCAAAGTATTGGAGAGGACGAGATAATGGTCCAGGACGGACCGAAACGTCGTCGTCTCCACATCTTCTGGTGTGTGGTTTAGTCTGCATATCATCAGCCATATTATTGTGACTCGTTGTCTGCATATCCCTAATGTTTTATCCAAGCTTTGGGATATATTTGCCTCAGTTATATTATCCTACCTCTGGGATATGATTGTCTGTAATACTATCCACCTCTGGGATATGTTTGTCAGTAATATTATCCCACCCCTGGAATATATATATCTGTAATATTATCCCAGCTCAGAGATACGTTTATCTATCAGTAATATTAACCCTGTTCTGGGATATGTTTGTCATAAATTTTAGTGCTACTCTGGAATATATTTGTGAGAAATATTAGACCACATGAATAAGTTTGCCAGTAATATTAGCTCTGGTATGAGATATATAATTAACTATTTCACATATTTTGTTATTCCTGTGATACATAAAATGTGTTATAATGTTGTATTTGATACTTTGTATATTTAAACAGGATAATACCAAAGTTGAGGAATGTTCAGTCTGCTATAGTTCCTACGATGAACCTCAGCTACGGCCTCGTGTTCTTCCATGTGGCCACACATTCTGCTCGCTGTGTGTTGACAATGCTGTCAAGAATGGTCAGCTGACTTGCCCCAGCTGTCGCGCCCAGCACAGTGCCACAGCTGCTGCTCACTTCCCCATCAACTACACTGTAGAGGCCTTAGTTTTGGAACTTAAAAGTATCCAGCCCACATCAGTAGACACAGTGGCAGCAGAACACTCTGACGCTCCTACAAGAGGCATCAGCAAGAAGTTACAGTCCCTGGTGGAGGAGCAGAAGAGCAGCATCACCAGCCTCATTATCAGCTGTGAAGAGGTATTGTCCCAGCTGGGTGAGTACCGGGGACAACTGGGCGACTGGAAGACTCGCCACCTCCAACTCCAGGACAGGCTGTATGGTCTGGTAGAGCAGAACAAGGCGGCCATGCAGCTAGTGGAACAGGAGGATACCAGTGTCGGGGAAATGACAACACAGGGAGAGGAAGGGAAGACTCAGCTGGAGGAGATGTTAGGAAGCCTCGACACAGTCAACTCTGCCCAGAAGGCTGTCACAACCATAGAGACGGCTGATCAGTGCCATGTGGAGGTAGAAGATTGGCTGCAGAAATGCCAGGAACTCTTCCCGGATGTCAAGACTGTCCACACCTCAGTGAAGGTACGCAACTGATGGTAACATTACTGTCACTAAACTGTGTGTGTAATCATGACTTTACATACTAACTCTGATGTTGAGAAGCAGTAAAATAGGAATATACTGTATTTGCATTAAATGTTTCACATGTAAGATTGAAACGTTTTTACTCTCATCCTGATATTTCTCTTCATACTGTTCACTATAAACGTTTGCTACTTTCATCTTGATGTTTATGTATATCGTGCTGTTCTCTTCAAGCGTTTCTACTCTCATCTTGGTGTCTCTCTACATTATGCTGTTCTCTTCAAGCGTTTTTACTCTCATCTTGGTGTCTCTCTACATTATGCTGTTCTCTACAAGTGTTTTTGCTCTCATCTTTGTGTTTCTCTACATCGTTATGTTCGCTACAACAAAATAAATAAGGTTCTTACATAATAGGGCAAATGCTTTCATAGTTATTATTAAGATCCTAAGTCATGATTACTTGCATAAGTCACCAACCTGAATGTTGTATTGGTAATTCCTTTACATAAAAATACATTTAAAAATCAACATTATTGTTCTCCCAGAGCCTGAAGCACCATTATAATCTGGTTACAATACTCAGACGCTCGATGGTGACAACAGGGCCATGTGTCGCCGACCAACTGGGAGTCTCAGTCTCCACCATTAATGTTTATTGGTAATAACAGGTACAGGAGACCATCAGAGAAGCCCTGGAGATGATGACCACGGAAGCAAGTGCCACAGCTGCCCCCATCCACTTGGAAGACTCAGTTTCAACCATCACGGAAAAAGTTCAGAAAATTACAGAAGGATTTCCTCTGACACAAGTGACTGTAAGTTTATGTTCATGTTATATTGAATGGCTCCATAGCTTAACTTTCAGTACCATCACAAAATACAGAGAGTTAATTCTGTAATTCAGCTTATCTCTTGGCCATCTTACTAGTCAAGACATTACAGAAATCCTGACATAAGCAGCAAGCCAAAAAGACACTAACACTTAACAAAGCTGTGTTCCTTTTGCCTGGCTTGGCCCTAGAGAACACAGCTGTGTCGGATGTTCCGTGTGCCTAGCTGGGCCCTAGAGAACACAGCTGTGTGGGAGGTTCCGTGTGCCTGGCTGGGCCCTGGAGAACACAGCTGTGTGGGATGTTCCGTGTGCCTGGCTGGGCCCTGGAGAACACAGCTGTGTGGGATGTTCCGTGTGCCTGGCTGGGCCCTGGAGAACACAGCTGTGTGGGATGTTCCGTGTGCCTGGCTGGGCCCTGGAGAACACAGCTGTGTGGGATGTTCCGTGTGCCTGGCTGGGCCCTGGAGAACACAGCTGTGTGGGATGTTCCGTGCGCCTGGCTGGGCCCTGGAGAACACAGCTGTGTGGGATGTTCCGTGTGCCTGGCTGGGCCCTGGAGAACACAGCTGTGTGGGATGTTCCGTGTGCCTGGCTGTGCCCTGGAGAACACAGCTGTGTGGGATGTTCCGTGTGCCTTGCTGGGCCCTGGAGAACACAGCTGTGTGGGATGTTCCGTGTGCCTGGCTGGGTCCTGGAGAACACAGCTGTGTGGAATGTTCCGTGTGCCTGGCTTGGCCCTAGAGAACACAGCTGTGTGGGATGTTCCGTGTGCCTGGCTGAGCCCTAGAGAACACAGCTGTGTGGGATGTTCCGTGTGCCTGGCTGGGCCCTAGAGAACACAGCTGTGTGGGATGTTCCGTGTGCCTTGCTGGGTCCTAGAGAACACAGAAGTATGGGATGTTCCGTGTGCCTGGCTGGGCCCTGGAGAACACAGCTGTGTGGGATGTTCCGTGTGCCTGGCTGGGCCCTGGAGAACACAGCTGTGTGGGATGTTCCGTGTGCCTGGCTGGGCCCTGGAGAACACAGCAGTATGGGATGTTCCGTGTGCCTGGCTGGGTGCTAGAGAACACAGCAGTATGGGATTTTCCGTGTGCCTGGCTGGGTGCTAGAGAACACAGCTGTGTGGGATGTTCCGTGTGCCTGGCTGGGTCCTAGAGAACACAGCTGTGTGGGATGTTCCGTGTGCCTGGCTGGGTCCTAGAGAACACAGCTGTGTGGGATGTTCCGTGTGCCTGGCTGGGCCCTGGAGAACACAGCTGTGTGGGATATTCCGTGTGCCTGGCTGGGCCCTAGAGAACACAGCTGTGTGGGATATTCCGTGTGCCTGGCTGGGCCCTAGAGAACACAGCTGTGTGGGATATTCCGTGTGCCTGGCTGGGCCCTAGAGAACACAGCTGTGTGGGATATTCCGTGTGCCTGGCTGGGCCGTGGAGAACACAGCTGTGTGGGATATTCCTTGAGCCGAAGCAATTTCATTTTTAACACTTATTATTAGGCAACATTGACCTAAGGACCTGGTTGGAAATTGTAAATGGCACACAACAACAGAGACAATCACCGCTGGTTGATGGGGCAGTGACCTGACTCTCCCCGTACTTACTGTTAGGTAAACACTCTCCACAGGCAGCATTGGAGGTGTTACGGACACGAGTCCAGCGTCCTAGCACGGAGCAGTGACGACAATGCCATCATCCAGTCTGCTCCCGAAACTCCCTCCAAATGGACAACGCCATCTAGTGAGGACGAGATATACCGGCCACAGGGGCTGGTTTCCCATCTTGATCAGCTCATAACATAGCCGCTGCTGACCTCTGGTGAGGTGGTGCTTAGGCAGCAACGCCATCTATGGAGTGGATAGGTGGGCGTTTGTGTCTAAGCCTGCAAGTGAGGTGCCCTAGAGTGTCCCTAGTACTAATGATGTGTCTGATTACAGAGTCGACCTGGGACTGCTGTAATGGACAAGAAGGCAGTCTACCCAAGGCAGCCAAAGTCTCTCCACGTGTTTGCTGCAGAAGCTGTGAGTCACCCCCGGACGAACACTGTTGAGTGTGTTAGCCTGCCTGTGACGTGGCAGTACCAGGAATCGTCTTATCTGGGGGCTGGCTGGTGGAAGAGACTAGCCACTGTGGTGCGGAGAGAGGAGAGTGATCTGCAGAATCACACGAGGCTCCTGCCTAGGGCTCGCAACCCTAGTATCGATCGTGGAGTGGCCTACACAGCAGAGCTGATCGGAACCTGCCAGCTACAGGCTGGATTTGTGGTTGAAGGCCTCCACGACGGTGCACCCAGTGGGACTGTGATTTGGCTGGCCTGTGGCCAGGGTAGATTCGCCGAGAGAATCAGAGGACTCATCGTGGGCCACGAAGAAGAGAACCAGGGCTACTCATCTTGAGCACCGTGGAGCATCCTGTGTCTTCAGAGGAAGACTAATTTGTATATAATAAGTGTAGTTATAGCAACCCCCGTGTGACTGTGATATATTTATGGTGGTGGTAGCAATATATATACAAAAGCAGTACATTTGTATCCCTTCTGCTTTAATTTAACTTGCGATACGGAACGGACCCCTTGAAAGCCACTACTAGCTTGGAGCTGGATACCCAAACTCTAATAACGTCAGAGAAGAACCCGGTTGCGATCCAATAGGGCCGTAACAGGAGGTGACACTGTCCACATGCAGTAATGGTGATGACACTGTCCACAATCAGATCTGAAGATGACACTGTCCACAGGCAGTAATGGAGGTGACACTGTCCACAGGCAGTACTGGAGGCGACACTGTCCTCAGGCAGTACTGGAGGTGACACTGTCCTCAGGCAGTAATGGAGGTGACATTATCCACAGGCAGTACTGGAGGTGACACTGTCCACAGGTAGTACTGGAGACGACACTGTTCACACAACCCGGTCTCGCACTTGTTTATAGTCAATATTGGCTTATTTAATAAGTGCATATGTGACATACTAATTGCTTGTAAATATTTTAGTTTACCTTGAAAAGCTTTACAGAAAACACCGACCTCAGCTAACCTTCTTAGTATGTTAAGATAAGCATCTTATTGGTTCTTAATTACAATTATTAACTAACCTATACCGTTGATAGGTTATACTAAGAAGGTTAGGTGAGGTCGGTGTTTTCTATGAAGCTTTTCAAGGAAAACAAAAATATTCACTATTAGTATGTCAAATATGTACTTATTAAATAACCCAATATTGACTGTAAGCAAGTGCGAGAACGGGTTGGTTCACAGGCAGTACTGGAGGTTACACTGTCCACAGTACTGCAGGCGACACTGTTCACAGGTAGTACTGGTGGTGACATTTTCTACAAGCAGTACTGGGGGTGACACTGTTCACAGGCAGTACAGGAGGTTATACTGTTCACAGGCAGTACTGGAGGTTACACTGTCCACAGGCAGTACTTGAGGTTATACTGTCCACGGACAGTACTTGAGGTTACACTATCCACAGACAGTACTGGAGGCGACACTGTTCACAGGCAGTACTGGTGGTGACACTGTTCACAGGCAGTACTGGAGGCGACACTGTCCACTGGCAGTACTGGAGGCGACACTGTCCACAGGCACTACTGGATGTGACACTATCCACAGGCAGTACTTGAGGCGACACTGTTCAGAAACTGTACTGGTGGTGACACTGTCCACATGCAGTACTGGAGGTTACAATGTTCACAGGCAGTACTGGAGGCGACACTGTCCATAGACAGTACTGGTGGTGACACTGTCCACATGCAGTACTGGTGGTGACACTGTCCCCATGCGGTGGTGACACTGTCCACAGGCAGTACTGGAGGCGCCACTGTCCACAGGCAGTGCTGGAGGTGACACTGGCCACAGGCAGTACTGGAGGTGACACTGCCCACAGGCAGTACTTAAGGCGACACTGTCCACAGGCAGTACTGGAGGTGACACTGTCCACAGGCAGTACTGGAGGCGACACTGTCCATAGGCAGTACTGGTGGTGACACTGACCACAGGCAGTACTGGAGGCGACACTGTTCAGAAACAGTACTGGAGGTGACATTGTCCACAGGCAGTACTGGTGGTTACACTGTCCAGAGGAAGTACTGGAGGCGACACTGTTCACAGGCAGTACTGGTGGTGACACTGTCCACAGGCAGTACTGGAGGCGCCACTGTCCACAGACAGTACTGGAGGTTACACTGTCCACAGACAGTACTGGAGGCGCCACTGTCCACAAGCAGTACTGGAGGTTACACTGTCCACAGACAGTACTGGAGGTTACACTGTCCACAAGCAGTACTGGAGGCGCCACTGTCCACAGACAGTACTGGAGGTTACACTGTCCACAGGCAGTACTGGAGGTGACATTGTCCACAGGCAGTACTGGAGGTTACACTCTCCACAGGCAGTACTGGAGGTGACATTGTCCACAGGCAGTACTGGAGGCGCCACTGTCCACAGGCAGTACTGGAGGTTACACTGTCCACAGGCAGTACTGGAGGCGCCACTGTCCACAGACAGTACTGGAGGTTACATTGTCCACAGGCAGTACTGGAGGTGACACCGGCCACAGGCAGTACTGGAGGTGACACTGCCCACAGGCAGTACTTAAGGCGACACTGTCCACAGACAGTACTGGAGGTGACACTGTTCTCAGGCAGTAAAGGAGGTGACACTGTCCACAAGCAGTACCGTTAGTGACACTGTTCACAGGCAGTACTGGAGGTGACACTGTCCACAGGCAGCACTGGAGATGACATTGTACACAGGCAGTACTGGAGGTGACACTGTCCACAGGCCGTACTGGAAGTTTCACTATCCCCAGGCAGTCATGGAGGCAACACTGTTCACATGTGGGAAATTTTTACCCACCATATCTAATTATCATCTAAGAAATGTATAATTTCTGTATCATATCAAAATCATATCGAAAATCATATCAGAATCATTATAGATTCCTTATAAAACTTGATCCTAGAAGAAAATGTCACTTGGATGCC